AGGCGCTCGCGAGCGGGCGCGGAGGTCAGGGCGGGGCTCACGGCCAGTCGGCGCATGCGTGGTGCGGCGCCCTCCGCTAGGTAAGCCGGTTGCTCTTGCGCATGCGCAGTCGGAAGGTCCAGAAAGAGTGGGCGTGGTCGTGTGTGACCTGGACAGCAAAGGCAAGGTCAGAGAAGTACAAAGAATGGAGAAGGACACTTCTTTATGTTTCCTGGCTCCACTGGAAGGATATTTAGCTTCAGAGCCCTAACATCTGAACGGCTAATAGCAAATAATCTATCAGCCAGTTGCCATTCATGTATTCAACTAAGAACACCTTCCCAGCTGTCTTTCCTGGACCAAACCCCAAACTACATTCACTGCCACTGAGTCAATTCTGACTCACAGTGCCCCTATAGGACAAGGTACAGGTGCCCCTGTGGGTTTCCAAGACTACATTTTCAGAAGTTTTAGTCTCGGACTAAATTTTTAGTCTCAGAACAGATGTCTCACCTTTCTCTTTTAGAGCCACTGGCGGGTTCAAACCACTGACCTTCCAGAGCTCAGTACACAGCCCACTCCCCAACTAGGGCTCTACCTCCCCTGATTATCTAAATTAGTTAACTGCCCTGAGGCGCCTTAGAGTCCATACTAAATCAAAAGCGCCCGTGTGCTGGCGTGGAGCTTACATTCTGAGCACCCCTTTTGCAGAAGGCCATGAATGACAAGTGAAAGCCCAACAGCCATGTGCAGGGTCCTCACGTGGATGAAGCCTCTGAATTCCTCCTGACCACCAACCAGGAGGTGAGTACTCAGCCTCAGGCAGCGTGCCTTAGAAAACAGATAACCCACTGGTCCTGAGGGGTTCATCTGTCCTGGATTCCCTGTGTTTCCAGTTCCAGTGCCAGTGTACAGCCTCTGGTCTAGCCAGATTTGTAAAGTAGAATTGGCATCACGATAATGGGGGAAGGAGGGAGCATTACAGAACCAGAGGAAATATGTATGTTTCATTGTTGCTACACTGCACCCTGACTGGCTCGTCTCCTCCCTGTGACCCTTCTGTAAGGGAATGTCTAGTTGCCTACAGATGGGCTTTGGGTCCCTGTGGGAAACAGAAGGATTTCTCCCACGTTGTCTCCCCCAGATAGATGCCAAACTTAGCTGCTTGCAAATGACTATACACTTGGAGGTCATCAGAAGTAGGTCAGGGTTATTCTTAAGGGTTATCAGCCATCTATAGCAAGTAGTCACCACTATTTATCCCACAACAAGTAGGGCCCACTCCCTTCTGATAAGGATAGTAGTTGTCTGTTTCCTTGTAGGAGACCCCAGAGAGGTCAAGCCCACCCAAGAGTGACCAAGGTTAGGCCACCATCATGAATCTAGGGTCCACCCATCTTGTCACATGTATACCCCTAGTCCCTCCCATTCCTATGGGCACACCCCTAGCTCATCCACTTCCTGTCACACTTATGCCTATCATATATCCCCTTCCTATGATGTGTATGCCTATTGTACTGCCTCTTCCTGTGACGTGTGGTTACCTGTAACCATGCCCCCCTAAGGAGATGTAACCCTTGGTTAGTAATAAAGTTGGGGCTGACCTGCTCTCACTCCCAGGGTTCTCCCCACGAGGACCACCAAGCAGAGCTGAGATGAGCATGCTACTATGAATTGTGTCTGATCCATTAATTCAATCGCTTCTCTATCTCGCATGCTCTCTGTGACTTTACTATCATCTTTACTTATTATCGCTGTACAATTGCACCTACTAGACCTGTGATGATTTGTTGGTGACCCTCTTCTCCCCACAGGTCCCCACTCCACATTCCCCCTCATTCATATGATATGATTTTTTTGTTTTCTGATGCCTGATTCCTGATTCCATTGACACCTCATGATCACACAGGCTAGTGTGCTTCTTCCATGTGGGTTTGTTGCTTCTCAGCTAGATGGCCACTTGTTTATCTTCAAGGCTTTAAAACAGGCATCCTCAAACTACGGTCAGCAGGCCACATGCGGCCAGTCGTGGACATTTATCTAGCACGCTGGGTGTTTTTGCCCCCCCCCCTTTTTTACTTCAAAATAAGATAGATGCAGTGTGCATAGGAATTTGTTCATAGTTTTGTGGGTTTTTTTGAACTATAGTCTGGTCCTCCAACGGGTCTGAGGGACAGTGAACTGGCCCCCTGTTTAAAAAGTTTGAGGACCCCTACTTTAAAACCCCAGATGCTATGTCTTTTGATAGCCAGGCACCATCAGCTTTCTTCACCACATTTGCTTATGCACACATTTGTCTTCAGCGATCATGGAATGCCAGTTTAATAGAACAACGTGTTCTTGCATCGAGGGAGTACTTGAGTGGAGACCCAATGTCCATCTGCTAACTTAATACTAAACCTATAAATATATGTACATAGATTTATTTACCCATCATCATATATAAATACATTTACATATGTACATGCCTGTATTTAAACCTCTATAAATGCCCTTTACCTCCTAGTTCTTTCCTCTATTTCCTTTTACTTTCCTCATGTCCCATTATCATGCTCAGCCTTCATTTAGGTTTCAGTAATTCCTCTCTGTTACATTGCCTTTGATCAAGTCCTACCATGTCCCCTATACCCTCCTCGCCACCGATTTTGGATCACTTGTTCCCTTGGCCCTGGGCTTGTTAACACCCACTTCCTTTCCTCCCCCTCCCCCTCTCCCATGTCTCCCCAGAAATGTCAGTCCTGATGTATTCTCCTCCAGATTGTTTATCCCACCTATCTTATTTAGATAGACTTACAGAGATAATAA